ACACCAAGTTGCAGTGTGACCCCATTCACGTGAATGGGCCAGATTCAGCGGGTGGTACTACCTCCGAGCATAATTGTTGCTGTGGAGTGTGAGGGGTCCTCTCAGGATTCAGAAGACTGCTGACATTGAATTAAAGGGGGGACCAGATGTGTGGTGAATAAAGCAGCTGGCAGGATGGGTTGGGGGGGGGGGAGCAATGGACGGATTAATGGATGGATGTATGGGGAAAGAAAGATTTTTCCTGGATTTGAATTTTAAAAAGTTATAGCAACAGGTTTTTTTCTTTTGGAAAAAGTTTTAAAAATGCAATAAAAGTTGACAGTTGTACACACCTCCACCACTGATATATGATTTGTTAAATAATTTTAGGGACAGCTTGGCCTGAATGTGGAAAAAAATACAAATAGTGATCTGTGAAATAAAAAAAGTGTTTATTGTACTGAATACTACCATCACACATCAACCCCATCCAGTTTATTTCATGCTAATGTGGTCCTTTAACCCCTTTTCTCTTGGGGTTCATCTGTAAACGATGGATTTGCAGCCTGTTATATGCCCAATACTGTTTATAAACGGCACTGGATAAATAGCCTTTGGGCTGCCGATCTGCCGCAGCAGCTGCAGATTCTGATTCTGTTTCACTGGCACAGGAATCTTTTTGTAACCCTTTCATGCCTCCCTCCTCCCTTACACATACTATCCTTATTCTTTCGCTATGTGACCTGTACATTAACCCCTCATCTTCTTTATCCTGCACATCTCCATCCTCCCACTGTATGTGACCAGTACATTAACCCCTTCACTCCCTCCTTCCTTTGTGTATGACCTGCACAATAGTGTATCCATTGCACTATTACCAAGCTCCAAGTTTAACCCCCTCAATACCAACATGCTTCCTCATTTTCAAAAAGCTGTGGCAAAAAAAAATTAGATCACCCTGCAATGTTTGCTTTCCAAAAAAAGAGTCATTTTGAGTGGTTTTGAACTTTTCTGACATATTTCTTTTAACAGACATCCAATTAACATCAGGATGAGGTGCTAGAAACCTATATCCTCGCATGGATGTACCATGCAGTGAGTTTTGGTTCATGAACGAATGGGCTAAAATCGCACTGCACAGGACTGCAAGATAATTGCACAGGAACCGCAAAGTACATTCCTGTGCAATTCCCAGTGTGTGCTTAGAAAGTAACGGAAACACTTTTGAAAAAAATGTTTTGTCCTTTTTATAGTAAGAATAATAAAAAAAAAACAGTAGTTATTAAATGCCATCAAAAGAAAGCTCTATCTGCCTAAAAAATGATATATAATTCATTTGCGTACAGTGTTGCATGATAGAGAAATTGTCATAGTATCACAGCGCTGAAAACTGTTGGTTGAACTGGATGGACTAGTGTCATTTTTAAACCAGATTAACTGTGAGAATTGTGGAACCTAAGGGGTTAATCCTCCACATTGTGTAAAAAGCTGTTTGATCCTGTCTTCTTTAATCCTCCTCTTCTTCTACTGTTCCCAATCCATCTGCTGATAGTACAGAGCTCTAGGGGTCACTTTGCACATGCTCAGCTTGGTATGTATTGCTAGAGAGTTTTTTTTTCTTTTTTTCTTCAGGGCCAATCAGCGCTGTCCAGGGTCAGGGGTTATGCAACCTCATAGGACAGAGCAGAATGAAAACTCCTCCTACAAAATGTAACCAGTGCTTTGACGGATACTGATAGAAGCCACAAGACTGCTCTAACCGCTGATAATAAAAGGTATTTAGCAGTTTATATTTACTAAAACAATTGCATTTCAATGTTTGGTGTATTGTGGGAGACCAGATATAGTGAATGCAGTGTCCTGGGTTTAGTAACACTTTAAAGTGGAACTTCACCCAACTTTATGCTCTTCCTCTTAGAGGACTGCAGGACCATTTTGATGCAGTAGGCAGCCAGCTGTGAAGCTGTAAGCAATCACAACCAGCTGCCCACAGTTAAGATGCCAGCGCTGGGGACCCAAAGATGGGTGAAAAAAACAGCTCAGGTGAGGACAGCGTTGGATCCCTGGACAGGGGAGTGTCTGTTTATTAAAATTCAGCAGCTACAGTTTTTGTAGCTGCTGACTTTTAAACTTCACACATATAACTGAAGCTCCTCTTTAAGGCTAGGTCAACATTATATGTGGCTTTGTGAGCCATGGTTGGCAAAGGCACTGCAGTGCATTCATTTGAATAGGCTGTTGTGCCTCATGAAATGCATGGAAAAACTCCCTGCCCACTTTTTGGAATTGCAGCCCACATGGGAACCACAGGTATAGTGCGGTTCCCAGTGCGGGTGCAATTTCAAGTGTGGGCGATGTGCCATTAGTATTAATGGCATCTCCTGCTTTTCATTGTATGAATGTTTGCAGCTGCAGGAAGACGAGCGAGTCCAGCAGTGGCAACCACCTGCACAGGTGTGAACCTAGCCTAATGTGAAAAATATCCCAACCCACCTTCAAACAATTACCTGAGTCCTCTCATGATCCAGCGCTGCTCCCTCTTCCTCTTCTCACTGGACACACAGGCAACAGTGGGTGTCATTGACTCCTGCTGCTGTCAGTCAAATCCTTTGAGGAGGAAGTAAAGGGCATGGCTGAGCTGTGCTGTGTGCGTGTGTCTACAATGTGTCTTCCTAGATTGTAAGCTCTAACGAGCAGGGCCCGCTGTTTCCTCTTGTACCAAAGTGTATTGTAACTGTAATATCCACCTTCATTTTGTAAAGCGCTGCACAAACTGTTGGCATTATATAAATCCTGTATAAAAACAAATAATTCACAGACACACACAGCCTGGCTCTGAAGTGCATCTGCATGAGCTCACTGAGGGGTCAACCGGAGGATGGAAGATGGGACAGCGCTAGGAGGAGGCCAAAAAAGAGTAGGTAAGGGGCCACTTTTGTATGATATCCTTGCACAGAGCAGGTAAGTATAACCAATGCTGGGACAAAGTCATCCAGTGCCCAGGGCAAAGATGCCAAACTGCACCCCCCCTTCTTTATTAGTGACAGCAACATTGCTACCCCTATCAGCCCAGTGCTGGAAGTGACCAGCAGAGAGTAGGGAGGAGGTGCAGGTTGTGTTCCCTCCCCCCCCCTTCTTCTTCCTGCCACTGCAACAATCCTGTATTCCTGTAAACATACAGATGCCAGCTTCTTAATACAGGTGTGCTTCTCTAGCAGTAAGAGGAAGGGGGAGAGAAAACAACCCGCACCTCCTCCCTGCTCTCTCCTGGCTGCTTTCAGCAGTGGGCTGACAGTAGTGATGCCACTGTCACTACTCCTGTCAGCCTTGTATCAAGATTCGTTTACTACATGGCGCCCCCCATCCCTACAGTAAACTGCTGCGCCCAGGGCAGCTAACCCTCCTGCCCACCCCTTGTCCCGGCCCTGAGTATAACATATTTTTTTATTTAAATTAAAAAACAATGAAGGTTTGGTATCACTTTAAGCACATATTGAGCTATTGCAGCTATTCCAGCTCGGCCAGTTGTTGATCAGACACTGCTTATAAATAAGTCAATAGCTGTGTGAAGAATGAAGAGCCCATAGCCGGAGGCGCAGACTACAGGTAGGATGGCTCTTCCTCTGCCCAGACATGTGGAGGGATGCTCAGAGCCTGAGCGCTGCATTGGAAGCTAGCGCCATCTACCGCCTTGTGTTGTGTATTGCAGTGACAGTTCCCTTCCAGCTGTCAGTCTGGAGACAGGAACACATGCGGCACACCGCGCTGATCGCTGTGTGTGTATAACGTGCTTAGTAGTCTGTACGGAACTCTGTGCTCCCCTATGGTCCATTCTTCACTGTGCACCCTTCCGATCACACAGATTACTGTTCTGCCTGCCTCCAGCATTCTCCCCTGCAGATCAGTAAACTGTGTGACAGCAGCTACACACAGGACATCCCCGATGGGGACTCAGTTAGAAAATGGAGGTTTCTATGGTGACTCAATTAAACGGCAGATGTAGTAGTGATGGGGAAGTGAAGTGATGAGCCGTGCCGGCCAGGTATGCAGGCGATCCTCATCCTGACAACTAGACAGGGAGATCGGGCACAGGGGGAGGGGCTACAGCGGCTCCGACACTCTCAGCTGCTGAAATGGATTCAAAGACAGTGCGAGTGAGGGAAGGTAGGATGATCCCTGGACACTGTGCTGGCTGCGATCCTTCCACTCCAAACTGCCTACAAACTGGGCTATTGTCTGACACTTCACGTGGGCTGAGCCATAGGATCTAAAGAAAAATTGGGGTTGGAGTTCCTTGAAGGCTTGTGGATAGAGCTGCTGAGGATGAGGATGATGAGGATGCTGCTGCTGCTGCTGTGTTAACTTGATGCCTGTGCTGTGGATTCTTCATACTTGTTGCTGTGGCTTGTACATTGCACTTGGCTTGTTGTGTGTGTGTGATCACAATGAGCTGCCAAGGCTTTGATGCGACTGATCACCTTCTCCAGGCTCCCAGAGGTACGTAAAGATCCAGTTTAAAGGGATTGCTGCAGTTTCTTGTGTGCAACTGGTTAAGTCATGCTAGCGTTTTTAAGGGAGCACTACAGGAAAGGGATGGGATCCAGGACTGTGCTGGGGAACTCAGCAATCCTGGGATGAAATGAGATGGAAGAGACAATCCTATTGATCTCCTGATTTGGAAGGAGAAGGCATAGGCATGTGTGAAGTGCTTGCCACTGTCAGACTTAAGAGACAACAGATAGGTGAAGCAGACACAGCAGATCTTTCATTGCTGCTGATGTTCAGGAGCTAAAAGAGGTGCAGCTGAACAGGCAACACATGCTATGCTTCATCTTACATGACCACCATGAACACTGTACGTACTACTGTTTAATACCTGTGGATACAGATGGCGAATTGGAACCTGCAGGCACGTCTTTGACCAAACTGCGTAACTTTTTTCTCTTTGCAAAGCAATAAACTTCAAGCCACCTACAAATTCCTAATTCTAGGTAAAGAACTGCAAGGAGCAAGAGAAAAAAATGGCGGCGGGGGTAGCGGCATGGCTGCCCTTTGCACGGGCTGCTGCTATTGGCTGGATGCCAGTGGCCTCGGCGCCTATGCCCCCTCCACCCAGAGGTGAGAGAAAGAGGACTCAGGACACCTTGATTGTTTTAAATGTAAGTGGTACCCGCTTTCAGACATGGCGAAACACTCTGGAGCGTTACCCTGACACACTGCTTGGCAGCACGGAACGAGATTTTTTCTTCAACCAGGACACCGGAGAATATTTCTTTGACAGAGACCCGGACATTTTCCGCAACATTCTCAACTTTTACCGCACAGGTCGACTTCACTACCCACGCCATGAGTGCATCGCAGCTTATGACGAAGAGCTGGCTTTCTTTGGTATTATTCCAGAAATTATTGGTGACTGTTGTTATGAGGAGTACAAAGACCGCCGAAGGGAGAATGCAGAGAGACTACTGGATGATGCCGATACAGAGAACGCATCAGAAGGACCTTTACCCCCCATGTCGTTGCGCCAGAAGCTGTGGCGGGCTTTTGAAAACCCACATACCAGTACACTGGCCTTGGTGTTTTACTATGTAACTGGATTCTTCATCGCTGTCTCTGTCATTGCCAATGTAGTGGAGACAGTTCCATGCGGTACAATGCCAGGCACCATGCGGGAGTTGCCGTGTGGTGAACGTTACGTTATGGCTTTCTTCTGTCTGGATACAGCTTGCGTCATGATATTTACTGTGGAGTACGTGTTACGCTTGGTGGCTGCGCCCAGTCGCTATCGGTTTGTACGAAGTGTGATGAGTATTATTGATGTGGTAGCAATCATGCCATACTACATAGGCCTTGTGATGACAAACAATGAGGACGTAAGTGGTGCTTTTGTTACACTGAGAGTGTTCCGCGTGTTTCGGATCTTCAAATTTTCCCGCCACTCACAGGGTCTACGGATCTTGGGCTATACCCTTAAGAGCTGTGCCTCAGAGCTGGGCTTTCTGCTATTCTCCCTCACTATGGCTATCATCATCTTTGCCACAGTAATGTTTTATGCTGAAAAGGGTTCTATGAACAGCAGATTCACTAGTATACCCGCTGCCTTCTGGTACACTATCGTCACCATGACAACATTGGGGTAAGTCTTTAAGAAGTGAGGATACCATAAAGTAGTCTTTCCTATTCTCTTAAACATTTCTTTGTGACTGATTTTCTATGGGTTTTATTAAATGGGATAAGACACATGGAATGCCGCTCTAGGTTGGTCTACTTTTGCCCTCAATATACTAGGTGCACTTCCAGTTCATTTTAGAAAAACCAGCAAACAGAATGGCGGATGACCATACTCCAGTAAAACAGACTCCTTTAATAGTGCAAATCCATAACTCCATACAACAGAAGAATTGAGACTTACTCCTTCTCTTTTATGGATTTATATTAATAAAGGAATCTTTTTATGAAGTATGGTCAACCATTATTCTGTTCCCTGGACTTTAAGCCTGATACTACTGTTTTATGTGAAGTTTGCTCTTCTTAAAGCACTGTATTTTTTTGGCCTTATTCAACAATGCAAGAAGCAAAGTTCTAGGGACAACCAATGAGAACTCACATTATTAGAGCTGGGTCTGTGCAAGATGATTCTCTTTTGGCACCATGGGTACTACACCTAGGTCTTTGGTCGTTGTACCATTTTATAGAGTCCAATTATTGCTTTTTTGTCCTTTGTTTTGTAACTGCAACATAATCTCTAAATAACTTATATATAATTATCATATACATTATCTCATGACTTCTTTTGTTCAGTATGCACAAACGTGGAACATGCACGCTAAATTTAATGTCTATAGGCCTGGCAGTGTAATATCTGTACAAAGAATAGCACGTTTATTCTATAGAGACGTTGTATGCTGTAATACAGATCAGCCTTTGGTTCATCCTTTCTTCAAGTTACTCATGTCTGTAAAAAAGTAAGCAATGTTTCAGTCAATGGCCTGCTCATATTACCATACAAACAACTCGATAATGAATTCAGACACAGCAGACTATGATAGAAGTACACATCTCTATAGTGCATGGATTTGGTTATGTGAAAGTAAATGCTTTACTGAACTCCCAACTGAGATACACAGAAAAAAAGGCTTTTATTTTACAGCAGCTTATCTTCCGGAGAGTGTTCCTTTTGTTTTATAAATGTGTTCACTGGACTGATGCTGTACTGGACAGTCATTACTACAGAGCTCTCAAAGTACTCATTGAGTTTAGATACAGAAGAAATCCAAGAGGCCGTTCAGTCTCAGTCAGTTAATATGAATTAGTTATGTGGGGGAAAACACCTGATGGATGCCATTGAGCCTTGTTTATGAAAGCAAAGGAAAGGATGAAAGCAAAGGAAGAATAAACTCAGACTACAAGTCTAGCATGTAACATGCAGTGAGGTTCTTCCTCTCATTCTCCCAAAGTGTATTGGAATAGGAAAGGGATCATCTAGATAGAAGAGAAATGGACACCTTTTATAATGACTTTTACCAACTTTAAAGCTGAATTCCAGTTATAATTTTAGCTGCATACTTACAATGGTCCAGGCTGGACCATTGTAAGCATGCACATTTCATATCTGAGGAACATTTATGGAAGGTGACACTACAGTGATTACCTCTTTCTTCGGTGTTCTTTGCCAAGTGTCTGCCCCACTGCATACTGACCACAGAGGGTCACTTACATAGCTGCACTGCTACCATTCACAGAACACCCTGTATCTGTTTAATAATATAAGATGTTCTCCGAACGGACATGGTGGAGATTATAATACCACCTCTTTTCTTCTCCACTGCAACCAATCAGATGTTTGAGGTCCAAGCTGGAACAATGTAAGTATCCAATTGAGATAATACCTGGAGTTCAGCTTTAAGCTTTTACCACTCATGTAACTTTTAGTGACTGCAGATCCACCATTCCTCTAACCAGCAAACCTATCCCAGAATATGGAAGCATTCATGTCCAACAGACATGCTGATTGGTCAGAGTTACAGATACTAATAAAGGGTCATATTTATTGAATAAAGAATGTGACTTTAACCAAACAATCACTTTTTCTTAAAACACATGGACCCAGTGGTGGAACTACCAGGGTCGCAAAGGTCGCACTTGCAATGGGGCCTTTGCATTCCACCCGACACTTTGGGGAGGGGCCATAAGATAGCAGTGTGTCTGGGGCAGTGTAAACAGGCATTTTTTTTCCTGTCCATAGAGAGGAGAAAAGTGCATGTAAAAAATGTCCTTGTCAGTGGCTTTGAACTGAGCATGTGCAATTCCAGAAGCAGCCTATTAGAGAACTGTTGGGCTTGACCTCAGATCAGGAAGCCAGGTGTGGCCAATATACATACGCCCCACCGCACAAGTAGAGAACAAGTTCAGCAGTACACTAATTGGCTGAATTCTGAACTGCACGTGTGCAGTTCTGAGTCGCCAACAAGGACATATTTTAAAAGTGTATTACCGCTAACCCAGCTGCTTGCAAGTTGTGGGTGCCCACCATACACAATCTCTCCACTTGCTTGCCTCACTGAAAACCAGAGCCCACAATGAAACTGGGAAAAGGAGGTGACTGGTCAGTTCCTGGACTTTTGACTATGTAGCTGCTAACATTACTCATACTAACAGCCCAAATTCCAGATTCTCTTTCTGAGCCCTGAAGGAGGATGTAAGGGGGCATTCTGGAGGATGTAACTATCTTAGTGCCTCCAGAGTGCCCCCCTACATCCTCCTCCAGAGTGCTCTCTTGCATCCTCTAAAATGCCCCCTTACATCCTCCTCCAGAGCTCAAAAACAGAATCTGGAATTTGTGCTATGAGTATGAGTAAAGTAAATATAGCCAAAAGTCTAGGCACTGACCAGTCACCTCCTTTTCTCAGCTTCATGTGAGACACAGTGGTAGGGGCCCCATGACCAATGATAAGGACCCTGTGAAGGAGTCAGGGGGGCCCTTCATGGTTTCTTGCATTGTGGCCCTGAAGGTTCTGGTTAAGCTTTTGTATGGGCCTTCACTTGCAGTGAGTGGTTGGCAAATGTCAGATTTCTGGCTTTATAAATATGCTTAGGCAGCTGATGCAAGACTATTCATCCCTCACCTTAAAGTCCAACTTTGGGTATAACAGAAAGGTTAACTACTTGTTAAGGCTAGAGGGTAGAACAAAGGGCTGCATTACTTACCTGACTCTATGCTCTAGCAGGCTCTGTTGCTGCTCTCCTATCCACAAAACCATGTGTACAGAGTCTCAGCATCACTGAGTATAAAGCAGGGCTACTCTGTACTGTACTTGGTGTTTGCAGAAGTGCAAACACAGCAAGAAGTAGTTTATAGAGGAAGCTGTGGCAGACTGGTCACTTGGAGCGAGGAGAAGGTAAGTAATACAGCCTCTTCTGCAACCCCTCACACTTAACAAACATTTAGCGCTTGCAGTGTGGGACAGAGGTTTTTTTTTGGTTGTGCCCTGAGTTAGGCTTTAAGTCTGTTAAATGGTTGGTTAAATGGAATCCCAGAATTTTAAGAGCCCCTGGCATTGTACCACCTCTTGTTTTATTGTTTGAAGGGTGATGATGGTATACAGTACAAGTAAAAATGAAGTTGGTTTATGAAAATAAGCTTTAGTAAACCCAGGCTGATATATTCAGTCAAATTGCAAAGTGTGGTAAGCATTAGTAACCACTTCTATCAGCGTTCTTTCTTTTGTAAACTGAAATTACACTGCTACACCTTGCACTGCTGCTTAACACATTGCAATGGTTTAATGAATTAATATAGTATAAATTGTACACAAGCTATAATAAAAAGTACTTTCTCTACAGAGTAGCCAAATAGATTGTCTTCAGAATAATACCAGAAACTTTCTCTTCTCCATAACTGCATGTGATGCAGTAAGCATCACTGTGTCATGTGCACAGTCATCAAAAAAGTGGTTTTGAATTTCAAGACATAAGAAAAGTCGCCATTCTTGGGACCCAAAGAAAAGTCAAGTGACGGTGCTTTGGCAGCCCACCTAATGCTTTCAGGATGTCTAACCTCTAGAGCACTGATATTCTTGACCTAAAGCTGGTGAGATTTACCCTGTTTTGATAGAATTGAGACAACTCAATAATCTATATCCATGTACAGTATAGTACAGAAAGGCAGCTTCCCAACTTCTAGATCTATTTGAAGGTGATATGGAGCTGTGCATTAAAAATAGCATTTTGTTGTTTTGCTGTATAATCTAGGGTCAGTTTGGGTGGAATCTGTTTCTCCTCTTACTATGGTTTGGCATTTTTGTAAGGAACACGTGGGAAGAGCATGCAATCACAGAGATCTGGTTTGAAAAGAATAGAGTTTTTACTAAACATGACACGCTGGATGGTGAGTCCATTTAGAGGGCTTATCATGGAGTTAATGGCTCAGATATTTGAGTGTATTTTTTCAGCTTTGAGTCTACACATTTAAGTCTTTATAGACATAAGAGTATCATGAAACCCTGAAATGTCCGGGATTAGGTAACAATAATATATTTGAATAGCTTTAGAAACACTATATAGACCATTTAGAATGCACTTTGATGGGTAGTTTTTCAGGCAATCAACTATTGTTAGCCAGAGATAAAACCTTGCTGAGATCATGATTGTTTCTTGTTGAATATTTCACTGCTGCCTGTTGTATATTACAAGTTCTAAATCTACAACACAGAAGTTGTTATAGGTCTTATGTGTCAGAATAGATGACTATTCAACATTATGTATATGTATTTCCACTTTTGCTGCCAAATTGGGATACCACCAACTTTTTATTTATTACATGTGGGATAACACCAACTTTATATTTATGACATGTTCTTATTCACTTTACATACCTTAAAAAAAATAAATAAACATTGCTGCTCACCTTTTTACTTGCTCTTTTCTAAAAACTCCAAAAATAAAACTTTCCCTTTATATGTAATGTTAGGGAGGGGGCTGATGAGTTATGTTTACTACAATGAACCCTATCTATATTATGCTGGCAGATCTCATCAGTCGTAAATTAAATGTGCACGCATCTGTCCTTTTGAATGGGCTCAAATCGCACTGCATCGCATCAAAGTAGTGCATGCACTTTTTTTGGAAACACACTGCACCT